CAAAAAAATATACGTATTTTGGAAATGTTGAGTCGAATTAGTCTAAAATCGATTAATTTTATGAAAGAAAACCTTTCAAACAGCCGTAGTCCGTAAACTATGATTCCTACAAAATTGATTCATAAAGAACGGAACGTATCTACCGTCTTATAGGGGGATCTACTGTATACTTTTCTATATAATATACTTGTCAAATAATAATAAATAAATGTATGTACAGTACCTGATTAAATTGATTATTATTTACGTAAAATAAGTAATTCATTTTTAGTTGTACTTAGTTAGTTTTTTTTTATGGCGCTCAGTTGTAAGGGCTGTATACATCTAACGCAGTAATTATAAAATTTACATACCAAAATATAAGGAGTACTTGAGAAACGACTAATGGGCTAATGGGGTACATCAACAAAAAAGGTTGAGAACCACTGATATATATCAAGCAATATTTTTATTGTGACATCATCACAATGCTGGGCTGCAATTTTTCACCACAGTGCTCTCTATTTTAGTAGTGTCTTGTCTCTGTATAACATATTTTTCCTGTTAACAATGAAGTCACGCTGGTCATCTAACTTGGGTCACAAACTGGTGGCCATGGGCCAGATACGACTCATTAAGGCTTCATATCTGGCCCACAGTCTTGATGATTTCTTTTCTAAAAATCAATATTTCTAACATCTTGCAGCAGTTAAAACAAAAAATTCAAACATCAAAATGTTTATATAAGTCATAAGGGCCTGGAAACAAAAGGGCCTTTGTTAGAGCCTTTTTTAAATTGCAGTATGTTTTGATTTATCAACATTTATATTTACATCATTTTGATATTTAAGAGAATTTGTAACCTAGTGAGTTTTTTAGCATTTTATTGTAAAATTGAAATGAATTCATCCACTAGAAAAAGTGTTTTTTACCTCTCCTGAAAAGTTTCTTTTTTGGCATTTACAACATTATGGCATTTCATGCTTCACATATATATATATATATATTCATTTGGGATTCCCTGCCCCTAAGCTTTTTATATCTGGTATCTGCTTTCATCTATCTAACTCCATTCTTCAGATTAAGGAAGAATAGACAGATGGATGCCTGTGGGAATTTATAGGTCTACAATTTTTGAAAATTGCAGCCCAATAATGGTAATGATATCAACATCTGTCATTATTTCAGTTTTCGATGTTTTATTAATTTAAAATAATTGCTTTTCAACAGATTGCCCAGTAGCAAAGAATAGAAGTTAAAATTATTTTTTAAGTATAGTGAATGAAAAAATTTATATGAAAAACTTACTGCATCTATTGCCTTTGTGTCAGCACCTGCATCAACCAAAATTTGATATATTTCTCCTCCGTCTAGTAGAAATGCTGCATAATGAAGTGGTGTTCTCCCTTGCTATATAAAAAGAAATTTCAGTACTTAAATTTATGATTAAAACAATTAATCATTACAACTATAAAAGTCTCTCAACAATAGGGATTATCGATTAAGTATTTTAATTTTATTGTCAAATAGTTTTGCATTTATCAGTTTATTTTTAAAGAACTTTTGTTGAATATTTCGTTATTCAACACTTCCTTCCTTCTTTTAATACAGAATAATTGCATTATGTTTTAATAATTTTGCAGTATGCAGTCATAATCCATGATATATTGCCATGGTGGCCAAACTGTACAGCCTAATTATACAATTTTTTTTTATAAACTTAAACTTTATATATATATAATACTGTTCTATTAGAGAATGTGGCTCTTGCATATTTCTGATAAGCAATATATGGCTTCTATCATAACAAGGTTTGATCGCCTAATATATCAGGTTGTGCATAAATTCTGTCTGATGTGCATATTGACAAATTGAAACACGTTTTACATGATTGGTGCATAATGTGATATATTGTTTTATTCACATTGGAAAGAACAGTATGTTTGTAAATTTTGAAGTGTGTACATATACTGTACATTGCTCCAATTTTGTTTTTATGTTGTATCAAAGATAGAAGTGTGGGGTCCATCAGCAATGGGCCGATTCGGACGATAGAGGGCGCAAAGAAAGGGAAAAAGCAAGCTTTGAACTGGTCACCACTTTCCGACCAACAGCTACTGGGAACGGACGTTAGGATAAGCGGTCAGTGCAAACAACTGTAACCTTCGATTGATGTCAAGCTGTATATACATTGTATTGTACATTACTGTATAAATTTGTAAATAAAGAAAGGGATATTAAATTCCGACTGACGTATTTTCAACAACATCGAGCGATTTCATAGGGGGATCAAACCCTAAAGAAGTGATCAAAGAACATATTTGACAAGTTATTCTTTATGAGTACAAAAAAAAATAACACAAGCAAATTGGCTAAAATTTTTTAAAGTGTCTATGGAAATGATGATGTGAATGAATGGATGTGTCTGAGATGGTTTGCAAAGTTTTGAAATGGTGACTTCAGTTTGTAGATGCTGGGAATGAGTATACTGGGCATCCTTCTGATTATGACATAGAGGCCATGAAAATGCAGGTGGAAAATAAACCCTTCACAATATGAGAAATTGCACAAGAACTAGACATAAGTTATGTGACCATTCATCAGCATTTGAAACAGCTGGAAAAAGTGCTGAATTTGGGAAAATGGGTGCTGCATGACCTGTCACCAGAACAACTTGAGGAGTCATAGTTGGTAAAATTCTTTTGACTCTGGTGACTTTGACTTTAAATTTTACTATTTGTAAAATGTAAAGTAATGAAAATACTTTTAAATTAGAATCTAAAAAAATTTATTCAAAAATGGATACTTCAATAAATTTAGATATCACAAAGATGTTCATCTATAAAGGCCATTTCACAGCAAAATTTTATGCATATTGCATACAATGTGCTGTATACTTTTAGAAAATAACATTAACATAAAAGAATATATTCACATTGCCTAGAGAGCCAATGTACTACCGGACTTGGTATGTTTTTGCTATTACTCAACCAAAAATTATAAAACTTTACACAATACTTAACTGACTTTGCATTTATAAAAAAAATCTTAATCTTTATATTTATTATTTTTTTGAGTAATTCATATGCTACATGAAAAAATTGAAACTAAGTACCATATGAGCTGCTCAAAAACCAAATTTTAAGTTTTTATAGAATTTGAATTCAAGTAAAAATTTAGAAATGATAATGTCAAAATTTTTAGCAATTTTTCTTTGGTAAAGATGAGCTTGGCACTTAGGTGAAATGTAGAAAACAATAATACAGGAAAAATCTTGTAGGTACCATTTCCAACCACCAAGCTTGTCTTTACCAAAGAAAAACTGCTAAGAAAAATTTTGGCTGTCATCTAAATTGTCATCAGTTTTTATTTAGCATAATTTTTTTATATCTGAGATATATTTGTTTGGATATCAATTATTTTTGTTTAATAATTGTATTATTTCATCAAGACATAAGATGATGACATACAATTTGGTTGGCATTCATGACTGAATGTGCTGTCAACCGACACTTTTGATACACCATTTAGAAAAATTGTTATAAAAAGTTTTAATTGGCATAAATTTGAGCTTTTGTAATTCTGAGTAACATTTTCAAAAAAAATTCATTTGTTTTCATGCAATATTACCTTTATATGCATAAAATTAAGCTGTAAAGCTGAATTAGCTCTATGGAAAACTCCTGTGAACTTTGACCTAGTGACCCAGAAGTTTGGCTAGCACCTCACTGATAATGAGAAAGGCTTAAGTTTAAAGTTTTAGCTTTCCAGACCACTAGTTTTTTCTCTATGAGTATCTTCAGTGCCAGATGAAGAAAAAGAAGAAAATACAACTTTTTTGGCAATTTTTTTTTTACTTTTTAATTGCTTATATTTCAGCAACCACATTACAGAAAATCTTGAAAAATTTTGTACACTACCTAAGAAAACAATTTACTTTCAAATGAGATATTTGGAATTACTTCAGGAGTTTTGAGGTGGAGAAATTGACTCCTGATTGTGGGTCTATGAAAAAGTTAAATATGAAAATGTGATTAATAAAAGAAATGCAGAAACTGTGTCAGTATGGCTACTATTAGCTAATAGGTTGTAATTTATGTCAACAACCTATTAGCTAATAGAGATGTTATAAAATGGGAAATGAATAATGATTCTAAGATTATAAATTCTAATACAGTTGACTTGCCTTATAACAAACACCAATAGAGCAAATTCTTGTGTTAAAGAAAATTTACCATTTCCCTGGCAAAACACCATTGTCACAACGTTTAATGCACTGAGTTGAACAAATTTTACCAGAATTCATTAAATCAAACTGTAAATTACCTTCATAACCCCAAGGAATAACCTTATTTCCAATAATGGTTACTTTATACACTTTTTGAAGTGAACAATAATAAGTGTTAATAAATTTTCCAACAGATTTTCTTCTTCTAGTAAACAAAGACAGATTTGACCTCTGATTGTAGAGCAATTCAAACTTCTAGTTTTAGCAGACCATTCTACTGTACCCAGAAAATAGGGGTTAAAGTTTAAGGATGTCCACCCCTTTGAATGGATGAGATCATATGCAAATATGCTAGTTTGGATATTGGGGGTGCATACTTTGTTTGAAAAAGAAATTTTTTTGGGGTCAAAAAGAGTAAAAATGAGCCAAATTTGATGCAATCTTCAACAGAAAAAAATCACAGATTTCTTTTAGCTTTGCTTTGTTTAACCACTCTGATATACTGTTCCACACTAAACAGTGAATACCATTTCCTCCTCAATTTATTTGATTTGAAAATCATTTAGATCATTAATTCATTTTTGTAAATAAATTTTATTTTAACTATGTTTAGTAAATCAATTCAAAATATTATAATTTAGAGATTTCAATTGTCTGTTAATGCTTAACTCTGTAAATTATACAGCCTTAACCTTGACCCTGAAAATCATTAATTATGAATTTTCAATAAAGCAAACTAACTACTGTTCCCTAGTGATTTGTATTAAAATGAGTTGACTGTATAGAGTTTTACTAATTTAGCAGATTATACTGGTGAATTCATTACAGGAAATGAGCTCAAAATATTTCATGACAGTAAACTTATTCAATATACAGTCTTTAGTAACTTGCTGAATACAGTGGTATCACAAAAACATTCAGATACCAAAGGCACTCATTAATTATAATTTTTCTATTGTCAAGAAATTTTAAATTACAAGTTTTTGAAAAAATTTGTCCAAATTATGTAAAGTCCAAGTTGGCAGGGTTNCTGTTATGTTAAAAATTTCCAGATATAAAAATAATTCAAACATATAAAAAATGATTAGAATTAGAATTGAAAATTACTTAAATATTTTTGAATTTTTGAATATTCAAGTTTTAAATAAAATTATTGGAATACAAAAGTATATTACAATCATTAATATGTATAGCTTAAATGATGCACTTATAACTTGGTGAAACTTAAAAACCTGGATCAAAAACATTCACATGTAAGTTTCAGCATGTTAAAAGTGCATTAATTAAAGTTAAGTGACCACAATGGCTAGATCACCCTTAATATGTAAGATAATTAATCCATTAATTTTTTAAATAAAGTAAAATATAAAATTCAGCTTTGGTGATTATTTAAATGTGATAATTTTTGTCAAATTCTAAGAATACTTGGGACTAGATAGAATATGGTATTACTTACAGGTTAGACCCCAGTTTTTGTGTCATGATTTTCACATGCAAAAATTTTGCATTGTACTTCAATCAAATTAGTTTGGATATGCATTTTTAACATTTTTACATTTTAACTCTAAACATTGAGGTTTCCACAAGCATGTCAAACAATAATCAGCCATTTGCTACAATTATTACAGCCATTATGCTGCAATTAACTTAACCAATTAAAGCTGAAGTTATTTTTTTTACACAATAAAATTTGAAAATGCTGTTGAAAATCCACATAATGCTGTTTTACTTGCATTATGTAGATGACATTCTCAGAGCATGGGAAAATACAGATGAGACATTTTTCACATTAGAACAATAAATGTCCAGTGTTTACCCCTCTATTAACTTTACGTGGAAAAAAGAGGTTGATGCGGCAATAACATTCTTGAATTTGCACATACATAGATCACCCAAAGGGCTACTATTCTCAGTTTTTCATAAGTTTAATAAGGTGTCTCATATCATCCCTGCTGTCACTTTCCAACCTTTGTGATATGTTGATACTGCTATTGCTGCCCTCACTAGAAGAGTTATTATCATCAATGCAACCACTTGTAAACCGATGAGTAGAGCACCATCAGTTTGGCAGTATGCACAGCTGGTTTTTCACATGCTAAGTTCATGCATGTGCATAATATGGTGAGGGAATCTCTATTTCTAAACACAACACTATGTAACAAGAGGAAGATGTCAATGGTTCAACTGCCATTACTGTACCGTGGACCCCTCTCCATATATATTGCCATATATTCAGGCAACATAACTTTCTCCTGTCCCTATCCCTGCTACTGGATTTACACAGACTCATCTGCAACAATTGGGATAAACTCTCCACCTCTGAAAAATTGGGAGTCTATGCTATGCTGTTAGAGAATTCTGTAATGGGGATGAACACACTGATACATTGGGGCCATAACACAAATGCATGCTAGCTGCCTAACTGAGCACCAGGATGAAAGGAAAGTGTACCATGGAGTCGGAAAAAGGGTGCTCAAACAGAACTACAACCCATTGTAGGCTTAAACAATGCTACTCAGACACTGCAGCAACTAGAAAATCATTTTCATATGGGAATCTCTCCTTACAACAACCTTGGAGCCATGCAATACTCCCACACTTGACCTGCTCATCACGTGAGTTGCCCTATATAAATGACTAAACAGTGATATGTGTCTTCTATCACATTTTTGACATGGGTGTATATCCACACATACACTTCATGACGTTTCAATCTCTTGCATAATCAAATTTTGATCACACTCATAATGACTTTTAATTTCAATTTAAATGATTTTTTTATTTATATTAGAATATTGTGTTCTATCAATTTCATTTAATTTAAATTTCATTTGCTTGAAGATGATGAACATAAGTTTGTTGAAAGCACTAGCAAAAATAAAAAACTGTTAATGCCACACTCAGTGTATATATTTACTTTCTCTCTATTTGTTTTTGTATGTCATCACATTTTAGTTTTTTAATGTAATTTATATTTTGATTAAAAAAAATTGATTCTTACTTCAAATTTAATTTGTTCAAATATCCTCCTGGAATAAATTAAAGTTGAAGTATGAAACACCATTCTATTACTATTGCTAATTTACTATTTCTGTATCTTATGCCAATAATTATTAAAGCTGTTTTGTTATATACCACTTTCTAGAGAAAATACCGCTACAAATAAGTGTCACCTCTAAGACTTTAGATTTCCAGTACAGTTTGAGTATAATAGATGAATGAACGTTTTCAATTCTATTTTCTTGTATAAACTACAAGGAAAGTAATGCAATATCGTGTGTGGTGATATGCCTGTGAAGACCATATGCATCAATAATTATATTTTATTCTCTCATAGTTTTCCTACAGCATTAAAATACAGTTTTGGAATACTTCATTCAAATTTTTATTATTGATTCATTACTAGTTAAAGCAATTTTTATTTAAAAATGTTCAAAATTCTTGACATTCCACATTTGGAACAATAGTGAACCTGAAGCAGATTCTGGACAAAGAATCAAAAACGTTCGTTCATCTATTATACTCGAACTGTACCAGAAATCTAAAGGCTTAGAAGTGACACTTATTTGTATCAGTATTTTCTCTAGAAAGTGCTATTTTGTTATAAAAATAATTCCAAAAGTATATTTATGATATGATATGGCTATTTTAATTTATGTATTTATGTATATAACAGGATATACAGCTACTTTATGTATTTTTACCTATTCATATTGCATGATCAGTTACTGGTATTTTCTGTCTATCAATATATGTTAGTTTGGTGGAATGTGGACTCACTCATAATGTGGGTTGGCATTTTGGAGCCAAGACACCTGGGTCCTATTGAGTCCTAAATTTAATAGGACTCAAGAATATTAACAAACATTTTAGATGAAATTAAAAAAACTATAAATTAAATTTTTTAAATTTAAATTTAATATATATTACACTTACAATATCTTGAACAGATTTGCTAGCACCACCATTTAAAAGAATATTATACATGTCTTTATTATCTCGTAAAACTGCTGCATAATGTAATGGCGTTCTTCCATCCTGTAATTATATTACAGTATTTGGAAAGTTAGATTTCTTTTCAAGTTCAAATATAATAATTTTTAATATATCTTTAAATCCTTACCATATCAGTAATATTTAATGAAAGTGGAAAATTATTCACAATATATTCAGCAACATCATAATTTTCATACCAGACAGCCTTATGAAGTGGAGTTGCACCTAATTGGTCAGTTGCAATTGCAAAACTTTTATGATCTAAAAGTTTTGTAATTTCTTGTAAACGACCTCTCATAGCAGCACGATGTACATCATGAATTCTTTTCTGAAATATACAATGAAATATTTTTGATAAATTCTTTTATATATTGATCACAGTCTTATAATCAAAAGTTTTTATTAAACTTTAGTCTGCTACTAAATTTAATTGTTCAGTACTTTACCAAATAGAAAGGCACCATTGTAAGAAAGTCATTTATTGTTGGATTTGGTGATGTTTCTCCCAAAAGCAAACCTCCATGTCCTCTGAGAATAATATCTTCCAAAGCTTCTAAATTTCCTTTATTAATTAATTCTTTTATTTGAACTCTTCCAACAGTAGATTCTAAAATAAATTTATATTTGATTCAAAAATATATTTAACATAATTGAATATTTTTTCCAAAATAAGTTCTGCTTACAGTCAGGTTGCTGTATTGTTTTCCTAGTAGAGGAGATAACAATCTTTTTTTAAAAAATAAAATCATACAGAAAACAGACCCAGTCATTTGGAAATCTAGTTGAATATATATTCTGCTCACTCATCAATTTATTACATTGAATATTCAAATTGAATTTAAAACATGAAATAAAAAGAACATGGAAGCACAAGAAAAAGGATAAAACAACAATATAAGTTGGTTGTTAATGTTAAAAATATCATGAAGCAAAAATTTAAACTAAGGTAGAATTTTGTAAAACAATTTTCATGTGGTGGATAATGATCCTGCATTTTGATAGTTAATTAATACACCCATATCTTCTATTAGCCTTACAGATTTCTTGTCTTAGTCTTGTTGGAATTTTTAGCAATAAATTATCAAAACTTAGCAGAACTGATTTTGGGAACAAGATTTTTAATTTATATCTATTACAAAATGTATTTTTTATATGTTGATTTAATAACATTAAAAAATTAAAAAAATAACTTTTTAATATACAGTGGGTGATCAGTTAACGAACAGATCGGATAACAAACAAATCAGATAACGAACACTTTTGCGAAAGATTTTTACTGACAACGAACACATGATTGGATCACACAAGAACAAACACAAGAAGAAGCGACGTAAAATAATGAATACTGATTGGTCTTCCCTTGTCTTTGGGCAACAATTCAAAACTTTTTGGAGTGTGGAAGACGTTGACATTGACGCTCAAGCTGGTATATACTGATCGGATAGTATTCCTTCAAACTTTGAAACTCTCCCTTGTAATTCCAGCCTTTTATTTTTCTGACAAAACAATTCTTTTATGTATTTGCGAGACTGTCGGGTAGGTACTTGTTAAGTTTTGCATCTGTTTTTCTTTTCAAAAGGTGAGAGTATAATAGCAAAGGTAGAGAGTGGGCAGAAGATGCCTAATGTTGCTGGGCAGTATGGCATGAACAGGTCTACAGTAGGCCGCAGTTCAATCTTATTTAAGAAAAATACTGTATAATCAAGAAGACTCAAGCAGCTTAAGGAGTACCAAAAATCACATCTGAGATATAAAGAACATTGAAGAGTTTATAATAGAACCTGAAACGGATCTGATGACAGAACGCCATGAACTCTTGAATGAAGAATACCAAGAAACTAGGTGAGATATGTTTTCTTCTGAAAAAAGAGGATTAATGCCAGTATCTGCTATTAATTAAAGATCTTTTGAAGAAGTGGAAGGATGTCAGAACAACGGTCTTAGAATGGCATCCAAACCAGGTTGAGGCTTTGGGATCTCTACAATTACAATGCTATTAATTACTTACGAAAAATCCTGAAGAAGAGAGAAAAGCAATTGACATTAGACAGATTCTTTAACCTTTTCAAACAGAAAAAACATGACTAATAAAAATCAAGACTGTGTATGTATGTATTTTTATTATTACATATAAATAAAAGTAGTAAGAAAGTATATATTTTTTATTTTTGGGGGTCTCCAGAACGAATTAATTAAATTCCCATTGAAACCTATGGTAAATCGATAATCGGTTAACGAACAATTCGGATAGCAAACAAAGTCTTGGAACGGATTGTTTGTTAACTGATTACCCACTGTATATATTTTTGATAAAACTTACTAAAGTATCCTTTTTTAGAATTCATTGTTGAATTTGATTTTTTTGGTTTAATCTTCCTTATATCGTTATTCAAATATCCATCCCTTAATTCCCGAAGTGTTGTTTCATCTTGTATTTTCATGTAATGTTCAGGTAGATTACCATACTGAAAATATTGCAATTTACATAATTCTGTATTTAATATAATACTAATGAAATGATAGCAAAAAACTTAATATCTTATATATATATAAGCTTTATTATTCTCATATAATTATTTGTTTCATATGAAAAAGTTTTGTAACAGAAGAAATACAGTTTTCACAATTTGTCTCAAGAAGATAAAGGTTTACTCCAATAAGTGAAATTGTCGTTCCTTTGATGCAAAAATGAAGAAATTGTGAAGATTTTGTCCATTTTTTTTCTCTACATAAAAGTTTAAATGAATTCATTTTCCAGATTAATTAATTATAAGCAAAAATAAATGTATGGATCATTTTGAAACTGTAATCTGTTTTTAGAAAATTTTATACACATTTTTCTATTATTGTATTATCAGCAAACCTCCATGTCCTCTGAGAATAATATCTTCCAANTATCACTAATAAAATTACTAATTATATTAATTAATCAAAAATATTTTATAGTATTAACTTTACTTTGCAAAATTTGCTATATATTTGGAATGTCTAACAATTATTATTTAAAAACTTTTACTAGATCAAATATACTCACATGATCTCTTATATGTAATGTTGTATCATAGCGATCTAAAAGATATAAAATGATGTCTTTGTATCCAAAAATTACTGCTTTATGTAAAGGAGTGGCTCCAACATGATCCCGACAAGCTGCAAGTTTTTTACGATCGACAAGATGTTGTAACTCTCTTAATTTGCCTTTCGAGACTGCACTATGTATTTCGTATATTTTATTCTGAAATGTATTTTAATAATTGAATTAAAACAATTATATAAAATACTGCATAAATCATATTATTACTAAGAATTAATTTTTAAATTAGATAAAAAAAATTATATTTCTATATTTTATTAGCAGTTACCAATAAAATATGTAATTTTTTTTTTTTACTATTCACATTCCATGGACATTAGTGAAACTTTAAATATAAATAAGTTCAAACTAAGCTAAATGCCTGTACATATACAGAATATGCAGTAAAGGCAATGACAGATAAGGCTACTTTCTTTTTTGCTTCTCACTGTTACCTACAGAGGAATCTGAAGCTCTTTTTGACATTTTCACAGTTCTCAGTCACAAAATCATATATTAACAACAGATCTGCCTGGCAGGAATTCTGAGACATGACCAATACAACACACTCACAAGGTGTAGGTTGAGTATGTCACATAAGGCATGAAAGCATGTTTGACACCAAATGTGAGCTTTGGAGTGCAGAGAACCTCCATGAAAAACTTGGTTTTTAGAGCTTTTTGATTTTCAAAATTTTGGGTAAGGGATTATATAACTGTACATCTTTTCCTTGAAAATAACACTAAAATTTATAATTAAATTATTATTAGTAATTAATTTTTTATATTAAAATATCATTCATTCATTTATGATCATATTATTCATGTCATTGTAAAATTTTGAACGTGAATTGCTTGCCAAATATACAAGGTAAGAACCAAAAGTTTTTGGCCTAACTATGTTTTATATGCTATGGATATAAAACAATGTTGTCATTTTTCAATGTAGTCTCCTTTGTAGTTCAACACACTTATTACATCTTGGGAATTAGCATTTCAATATCCTTCAAAAATAGTCTGCAGTTTTGTCTAAAAATGCCCCTTAAACTGCTTCCTGAAACTTTTCATCACTTTTTTTGAGTTTCAGAAACAGATGATAATTGCTAGGAGCCAGGTCCGGACTGCAGTACAGATGGTCAAGCTCCTCAAATCCAAACTCCTTCACAGCAGCCTTGGCAATGGCAGCTGAGTGCACCAGTGCATTGTCTTGCAAGAGGTGAACATGATGCAAATTAATGCAACAAGTCTAACTAAAATAAATGTTTTCAAGCAACTTATGCAAATTGGCAGAAAAAAAGCTGTCTTATTAATCCACATACAGATGGTGCTATCTGATACTATCATTATTTTATTCCCATCATGTCTAAAATATAGTTAGGCCAGAAATTTTTGGCACCTATCACATAAAATAAATAATTCCTATAGTTCAAAAATTTTAAAATGGAAGAAATTTTCCTGTAAAATTTGACTGAAAAATGTAATTAGTTTGAATATATGTTTATATATATATTGAATTTATAAATATATGTAAAAACACATACTTTGTAATTCAATAATAATTTTAAGCTAATTAGTGAATTGAATCAGCAACTTATTATTTTAACATTATTTTAAGGTTACTAAAATAAAAGTTTTGTTATGTTAGAAAATACTTTGTATGTAGGGTTGACAATTGTTTGGGATTTTTTGAACTGTATGGAATTTCAATTATTTTTTAAAAAATTGTTTGGAAATCAAAAACTATAAATGTTCTGAAAAATGAACAAATTGGGTGTATGTGTTTTTAGCTTATCCCTTTTTCCTCATGATAAGTTGACACCTCTAATTGTAATTCAAATTATTTTCATTTCCACTTGTTTGCTTTTTTCAATTTTTATCTCTTTTCATCCTACAGGCACTAACAGGACATGTTTTAAGCAACCATACTCATTGTAGGTTTAGCAGATCCACATAATGTAGCAAGGTATTGAGGGACAGGGCAAGAAATACCCAAAACAGACTGCCTAAGAAAAATTCCTTGGGTTGCTTGCATGGATTCAATCTTGGGTCCCAGAAAGATAGGCTGATACCTTAATCATATCAGCCATCCAGCTATTTCATCACTATCACTATCACAATCAAGGAAGAAAAAATGTTTTTATGTTTGTTTCTAGGTTTTCTTTGCTCATCACTTTTTTCAAATTGATGGTTTTTCCACACTGTTTGGAATTTGTTACTCTGAAAGTTCACAACCCTATTTGTCTGATGATATTCTTTCTTGCAACTGTTGACTTTATTATTTATGTATTTTGAAGCAATGCTATATAACTCAAGGAGCCAAATTTTCAACTAATTTTCACTTTATATCTCTCAAATTGCTTGGAAATTGCATGAAAGCTGAAGATTGAACTATACTTCTATTATTTTGGTTTTCCTTAAGGAATACTCTAAGGATTTTTATTCATTATATTTTTAGAAGTTAGTAACTTTTTGTAATATTATTTTTATTTTTATATAACTTTTTGTATTTGCTTACTTTATATTTTTATCAGTTGTTACCATCTCTCTTTATAAACATTTGAATAGGATGTTGAATGTGTTCAGTTTTAAATTATTTTTAAATGTAACCTGAGGACAAGTTGAAAACATTTAGCACATAAATGTTTAAATTTTTCCCTGTTTAAGGTGGTGTTGTTATTACCAAGTTTATCAAGTAAATGTTTTTATATTTTAAATACAACTGTAAACAAATATGTATAGAACATATTACTGGATAAATATAAAGTATAACAGAAAAAATAAGAACATAAAAAGTAAAACATATGCAAAAAACCAAAAATTCAGCAAAATAAATGTAAATTTAATGAAAAACAAATGTTTTTGACAGCTTTAGCAATCATCATCATGTTTTGAAAAGGAACTTACAAATCAAATAACAAAACTTTTTAAAAATCATGAAACAGGCATAAATTGGTCAATGAAGCAAATGTGAATTCATGTGTTAATCAATTAGAAAAATTCATTTACTGGATTTCAAAAAGATCCTCATTTTTCTAATTGATTAACACATGAATTCACATTTGCTTCATTGACCAATTTATGCCTGTTTTATGTTCTAAAAAATTGTTTGAAATTGTTTCTTTTTAGAACAATTTGTAACCTAATATAAGTATAAGTAAAAAACAAAACCTTTAAACAATCCAGCAAATCGTTTTTAATATCTTAAAAATGCTTTCAAACGTTTTAAGCAATCATCCTCAGTTATCATTTTGAATCAATTCAAAATGATAACTGAGGATGATTACTTAAAGCATTCGAAAGCGTTTTTAAGATATTAAAAACAATTTGCTGGATTGTTTAAAGGTTTTGTTTTTTACTTATAATTTGTAACCTGATGATGATTGCTAAAAGCTGTCAAAAATATTAGTTTTCATTAAATTTACATTTATTTTTGCTGGATTTTTGAATCAAACAAACAACTAACAAAACACTAAATAGTTAGGGACTCAACAAGTTTTGTAAGATAAAACATTTTTTGTGAGTAAGTTCATCTTATCATCTCTTTAAATGCAAACTTCAAAATTTGAAACGTTGTTTGTTGTTCAATTAATGTTAAAAATTAACAAATTTGAATTGCAGATATATTGAGTGCTTGATATTTAAACTCTTTAAAAATGAGAACATGCATAACAATTTAAAACAAAATGCAGATATTACTTGACTAAAATTATTTTAAAAAAACACATGACAATATTAGACTTTTTTAAATGCAAGTTATATAACAAAAGATAATTAAAAATTAATCTACAATAAATTATAAGGGTATTAAAAGTATATATACAAAATTCATTTATACATAAAATTTACAAAGATCATCAAATAATATTACTGTTTTTGTATTTATCTGAAAAGATATAATTTAGGACTAACTTGAAACATTGGTACTTGACGAAGAAATTTATTAACTTGAGGAAGACGAGCAGTCCTACCGATAAGAAGGTCACCATAGCCGTCTAAAACTGCTTGTTCTAACTTTTCCATAGCTCCTAATTTTAGCCATAGAGAAATTGTTTCTTCACTAATTGTTGGTGCTAAAGCTTGTGGTAAATAGTTGGCTGTTCGAACTGGAGGAAGTGTTGATGTTGTTGTTGCCATGTTTCCTATATCTGTATATTTAAATCCTTCAAAACAAGTGAAATAAAAAGTTTGTTACAAAGTTTATTCAAAGATTATGAAATAATATAATTCAAAATATAATATTAATTAATTAAATTTGTAAAATATTAATAAAATCAAAGTTTATTTATATATATGAGTATATTATTAAAAAACGAAAAATAAAAGATTATATATTTTTAAAAATGTTTATAAATATTCATTCAGTTCTTTTGCATTCAATGAGCTAAAACTTTAATTTTTTAATGATGTAAATTCTTATTTTTGTAAAATAAATTTGATAATTTTATAATTTGAAATATTAAATAAATTTTACTATTTCATATGAAATTATAAAGTGGGTTCTAAGACCCTATTTATAATGTCTGTTTTGTAATTAACCATGGCATCTTCAGATACAACAAATCAACATTATTGGATTATTGCTTTCCCATCTTAGTCTGTTATAATTTTATAAATTTGCAATATTAACAAGATTATTTTTGTTACAATATTTAATATTTTATCATCATCAATACACTAAATTAAGTATTTAGCTTAAATACATGAAAAAAAAATGAGATAACAAAAATTTTATAATTAAAATTTTTTGCATAAATAATAAAATTTATTAATTGTAAAATTTTTGCTATTTTTTTTTTTTTTTGCTATTTTTTAATTATATTAAATTTGCTATTTATTTTTGCTATTTTTTAATTATATTGCTACCAAGTGGATTTTTGTCAGCCAGACTTTTATTCAATGGGAGGAAGCAATGCCAATTTTTCAAAAAACAGTTGGAAGTACTTGAAAAACAATTCTTTGAATGTTTTCACACGTTTTGATAATGATTGATTTCTGTTTTCAGGTTAAGCTTGCACAACTTTATTTATTTACTTTTGTTGTTTTTAATCTTTCCAATAAACCTTGTTGTGTTTTGAGAAACCATCGTTTGTCTTGTGTCAGTATAATTAAACATTTTTTCTTGTTTAATTTTTACTGGAATCTTTCCAATTCCAATAACATAACTAAGATTTTTTTGTTTTGAATGTATATATATATAAAAGTAAAAGTTATTCTAAATTATTTTTAATCTAAATTTTTTTTTTCAGTTTAAAATATATTCAAAGCTTAAGCTTAAATAACAAATACACTATGAAATATTAATTAGTTTTGAATTCATTATTATAAATTATACTTAATTATGAAATGGAAATTTATGAAAGAATAGAATATAAAAAGAGAAACATTTTTATCTTATCACAAGCAATGCTAATTTATAATAGGTTTTTCTTGTTTTTTTTTTTAGTATGTAAAGTATGAGGAATATTTTGATATGGAAATAATGGTTTTAAACAAAATCATAAAAATAAAACTCATTAAAATTCTGATGTAAAAAAAATGATTCAATTCTAGTAGTAATGAACACACTTTTTTCATTTTAACTTATTTATATATTCAAATTTATCAACTTTATTAATTAATAAATAAATTTCAAACAAACTGTCAAATTAATTTAGCAAATTATCATTTCAATGTTACAAAAGAAAACAAATTATCATAAAAATACTGTAAATAGGATTCTTATATTTTCTATATTCAATTTTTCATAACCAGCCAATTAAACTTATATTTAAAAATAATAATAATAAATTAAAAAAGAACTGTAAAACAAATCATTTTTTCTAATTGATAATATTGCTGATAATTTAATAAATTAAATTCCAATATGATATAATGTAAGATTAAAAGTAAGAATTTTCTTTTGGTTGTATAAACATACCAACTTACAGTTTTGCAACTGTAAGTTGGTATGGCATTAATATAAAACAATAATTAATGCAGATTAAGGAGTGGAATGATAGGAAATAATATTCTCTAACTTTACTATAGGTTTATATTTCTTTTATATTTAATATATTAAGATTTAACAAATTTTGAAATGTGAAAGCAAAGTATTAAAAAAAATGTCACATAATTCTAAATCAACATGTTTCAATTTAATTAAGTTTACATAAATCTAAATACACATTTAGAAAAACTAGTATACTAAAAATAATAGCTTGAACTTAAATTTATAAAGTTACTCTTACCAGAAGAAAAATTATCATCATGAATCATAATCTAAAATGAAAAATGTAACAATTAATATCATCTGAGGGAAAGTCTTTAAATATATATATTTATAAATGTATATTTATCCTCAAAATTTTATTTTATTTTCATTAAATTTCAAAGTATTAAGTATTAAATTTGTGCAAACTGTTTTATTAAGTAGTAAACAATTTGCTGCTTTTATTGTGAAAATTACATATTTAAAAAGTGTTCATTTAAAATACTTCCTGTTATAATTTTGTTATTGTTATGTCATTGACATCTATTGACCTAATATATAATTATTACTCTTTTGGCAAAACTTACCGATTGCTTGTAGAAAATAATACGTATTTTACTATAGAAGTTTCTTTCTTATCCAATGTGTGAAGTTATAAATTCACATGTTTTGAAAATATATTTATATACAATATGTGCACAATATCCATTTATGACACAAATGAACACTTTGGAGGAAACACTTTTATCCTTCCAGTTAAGTGTATTAGAGAAGCATGGAATTTTCTATTTGTATGGAGTGTGTATAGCTTGCAGTTGCCTAGCACCCAAAAAATCAATATTAAAAGATTATGTAGTATCTACATTAATCATAGAACTTAAGTTGTATGATGCTTTAAAAAAATTGTCTATGAACTATTGATAATTTTAATTTATAACATTGCATTCAAAATTTACTTATTGGAAATTTAAAGGTTATAAATTTTATTTTTGCTATTAAACAAACATATTTTCATTTTAATATTTCTCATTTAATACAGTTTCAGTTAGATAATTTGTAAAAAATATATAAATACATTAAGGAATACTAATAAGAAATTACTTCATCAATTTAAAATATCATAGCTTCATATAGCATATTTAAATGATGCTTATATTTCAGTTTTATGTTGTGTTTGTTTGGAAAATTTTTAGGTTCTATTGACGTATTTAATACAGCATAAAATATATTTAATTTTCTTAATGGAAAGTTAGCTAACCCTGCCCTCAAAGAGAATTGATTAATGAACAACTCAACTATGACCTTCTGTATTAATCCCTTGATTTTATTTTTGTGTTAATATTCTTAAGTAGTAATTATTTATTTTCATTTAATTATTATTTTATTAAATTTGAAATTTATTATTATGTATTCTTACAATATGTAAAATTTAATATAAAATAAAATTACTAAATATTAATTAAATGTGAATCAAAATATAATTTTTCATAAAATTAATGACTAATTTTTATATATCCCATACATTATAAGTATGAATAAAAATTAATCTTATAATGTAGTGTACATTGAGTAATTTATGCTGAGTCAATGAGTATACTCTATTCGTAAAAAATTTTTTAAATGTTTCATTAGGACAAATTTTTTGTCTGTTAAATTCAAAGTGCATTAAACAGATGTCCACTAAATTGAGGGCCTACCGTATTTAAGAATGTTACAAATAAGATATATACAAAAATTGCAATATTTTTATAAATATTTTAACATGTGTATTTTATTCATAATGTCTCTTATATTGTTGAAAAGACATTTTTTAAAATTTGTACAAGTATTTGCTAAATCAGAAATAAGTGTTTTTATCTACTTTAAGTAAAAGTATTTCTGGTAATTTTACTCATGATGGTGTTTTTTTTAATCATTGTTTCTGTACAGTACCTACTAATCAGTTGTGTTTTTCTACATTTTATTCTCTATTCACTCAGAATTTCTGAATATCATATATTACTGTTCACATTTATTTATTATTATAAAAATAAACTTTAGTTTAATAAAAATGAACTTTAATAAAATAAATAGCTTTAGTTAAAATTATACTTTCAATTACAAAAACATATGATTGATTAATTATTGTTTTCATCATTTCCTTTCATACAATCCCCACAGCCTATGAAATTCTCTCATGTTTTGATATATGATTAGTATATGTAAACTCATTGCCATAAAAATTACTGCACCAAGAAGTTGTTGGAATTGAACAAAATTGTACATGTAAGTGTAATGGTGATATAAGTAACTGATTACAAAATGAAAGCAAAAGGATCATTTATTGTAGCAAAACTACAAATGAAAGGAGTTATAATACCCTGTTGGGCCATATCTAGCATGAATACATGTGATACGGGTGGGCATGGAGGCATACAGGTGCTGTATGGTGTCCTGTGGCATCTCAGTTGCTGCAAGCAGTCCTCTAGTTTGGCAAAACTCCTAGGCTGTTTAACTCGGCATCCCAGGTGATCTCAGACATGTTCAATCAGTGACAAATCAGGGGACTGGGCATGCCAGGGAAGTGTAGTACTGTTGCAGAGGCAGTCCTATGACACCCTTGCTGTGAGTGATCAAGCATTGTCTTGTTGAAAAATTGCTCTTGGGAGCTCTGCCATGATGGCAACACATGTGGCTGCAGGATATCAGTAACATATTGCTGGGCTGTCATGGTCCTTGGATCACTACTAGAGGTATGAGAGGGCACCCCAGACCATCACACCAACTGTGGGGATGGTGTGATGGACCATCACAATCCTGCCACTAATAATACCTCAATCCTGCCACTCCAAAGTGTATGCAGGATTGAGGTATTAACCAATGGTCTCCAGACACGAACATGACAATTGTCATTGTCCAAACTGAATCTGGATTTATTGCTGTAGACAACCTGGTTTCATTCTGTTTCAGTACATTCTGGTTTCATTCTGTTGCAGTACAATCCTGTTGGGAGTGACACCACTCCAAACAGAAGCAATCATTGGTGGCTGTCAATGGCAGCACATATAATTGCTGCTGTGATTTTCCTCACCCAGGTGCCTTGAAATGGTATGGACAGACACAGGGACCTTTAATGATGGTACCACCTATGTCTGGATGGCAGACAATGATACAGTTGGCTGTTTGT